GGGACGCAAGGAATAAATAATAAAGAGAATGAACCGGACGGAGGAATATTCAAGAGGAAAACGCCAGGAAGGTAAGATAAGAGGAACACATTGGGACATCAAGGGAAAGGGGGTGGTCTAGCTGCTGGGATAGGAACATAAAGCCAGATAGCTGGCGCACATACCTCAATCTTGACCATGCGAGTGGCGCAAAAAAAAAACAGACCACAAATGTAACCGGAGACAGGTGGCAGCTCGCTGCCAACAGCAAGTTGGATGTGGTCCAGTTTTTTGTTTTTTTTTCTAGAATGGAAATGGAAAATGGGAATGTTCATTAACCAATGAAACTTGGGCGCTCAGATCCCTTGACAATTTGATAAGATGACCAAGTGGCCTTTCTTTGTGTCAGCTCGTCTGTCCTTAGTTCTCCAGGCTCTTCCGGCTGCTTCTTGAAATTGTTTAACTACAGTGACCCAAATGAGGATACCAGTGAAATAAAGCAGGCCAGCTTCAACCTTTTAGTGAGTTATAATTATGGTACATACAACAGCTACACTAATTACTTTGTTAAATAAATACAACAATGCGTTTTATGACAACAGAAATATTTAATCCGCCAGTAAAGATAAAACAAATCACTCTTATGTATTGCAGTTTTCATACATATATACGCTTACTTTTTCCTGGACAGTTAACAAAAACGCAGGATTAACTAAATTAATAAGAGCGGGATAACATTAATCAGTTACCTACTGCAGGAAAAGTGCTAAATAAAGTGTGATTGTTTCGTGTAACGCGTTGTTAGCTCTTTTTAAAATATGTTTTTCCCCCACTGGTGTTGATTTTCTAAGTATAGTTATATGTAAAAAAAACAGGAGTAGTTTACAATGGTGCAAGCAAACACAGATCCCTTTGCATCTAACCGGTAGAAGTAAAGAGAACTGACTTGTCATTCAACAGCAACTTGTGAATCAACGACAGCCGGCGTTTTGGCACAATAATGATAGTGTAAAATAGTGAGGATTCTGCATTCCAGATCATTAGTTTTGAACAAATTCATTTTGTGTAAACACATACTGAGACTCAAAGAAGCGGAGTCACACACTTATTGGAGAAGTAATGTAGATATAGACTGAGAAAGGGACAACCATATAAAAATCCGAAAACGAAAACAATATCATTTTCACTGCACTAGCAAACTTGGAATTCAAAAGAAAAAACCAACAGCAAACTTAGAATAGTTAGCTCTAATATCAAATGAACACCACAACATGGAGCTGAAACATAGAGCACGACAATTATAATTAGTAATAACTTCGAATATTCAATAACTGGTTCATGTGCATAATAGAAAGAAGGAACTTTATTTTCAAAGGGTCACAAACAGTGTCTTACAGCCAACCTTAGAATGTAGACACTGGTGTGACAGAAACGTCAATGCAGAGCTTTGGCTTAGAATTAAACAAATCCAGTAATCAAGAATAGTCGCTGAAGCTGGATAGTTTGTTCATTAATAAAACATGAATATCCTTGCACTTGAACCAACAGGCCGACCACAAATGTTCACCTTTATTTGTTTACTTGTACTGCATTATATAAAACAACGGCATCTTACGTGATCTTTGCATCGAGGAAAAACTGGCACATTAACAGCATTCTGATTCCCATCTGGACGTGCACGCGTAAATATAAATATAAATATGTGTGTATGCAAGCATGTATACGTGCGTTCCCACGTGGACGTGCAGGTGTGTATGTTATGTGTATATCTATATACATGTGTACATATATAAAGTAATTCCAACGTACCGCGATCGAAACCCACTTGCTGTCTTAGTGGATTTGTATCCTGGTATGGGGCGTCGCAGGTCGATCCAGCCTAAAATGGGTACCAGGATGGCTGTCCTGGGGAAGTAAAGACGGCCGGCGTAATGCTGACCACATTACCCACCTGGTGCCGATGTTCTGTAAAAATATTTGTCGCTCTTCCTATGTACCCGATACGCCTTAAGGCGTGAAAAGTGAATTTTACTTTTACTTTATATATATGTAATGTGTATATATATATGTATGTATGTGTGTAATTGTACATATATGTCTATATATGTGTGTGGTTGTGTATAGTGCACACGAGCTGCCTCCCCAAAAACCCCACTAGGTCCAAGCCACTAGTTTTATTGCAATCAACATTGCTTAGCCAACATAATTGGCACAAAGAAACCAGATCACAATTATAATCGATACTGCTAGCAGTAAGTTGCACGTGGTCGATATTTTTGTTTTGTTTATCGTAAAAGGATGGAGGGAAAGCCGAAGTAGTTTGGCCACGTTAAACATCCTGGTGGCCCAGAGAAAAAAGGTAACACGGGGTAGAGTTTCCTTAAAACTAGATAGACAGGCCTCTCGAAGGTGGATACAAGACTGAAAGAAGATGTATTGCTCAAGATAGCATATGGGGTCGAGGAATTGGCTAGAGAAAGAGAGACTTTCAAGAGTGCCGTGAAGTGAGCAACGTTCTGCAAAAGAACTGCTGACTGACGATGAATGTATTCTGGATCAGTGTGCTTCAAGCTTTTAACACCCACGGCCAACTAAAACAGAGTAAATTATTTTATGTTAAGTATTCTTCTTCGCATTCACCAGCTGTGAACTCCAGCGAAAAAGTCTTTGGTGTTCGTCCACCTCCGGACTTTGGTCTTGTTCCTAACCCTGAGTTTACGTGTACATTGGTTTCACACATCTGGCTTATTTTTATACAGACTCTTGGTTCTTGCTTCTCAGGCAGATGTACTCCGACTTCAAAGGATGCCCCCCAATTAGTCGACTCTTACGACATACTTGTTGGGATATATAATTCTTCCCCCCCCCCCCCACACCTCCACCCCCTCCCCCCTCAAGGGTCCCAGGAAGAATTTTGTAACTGACCTATGGGTCGATCCAGCCAAAAATGGGTACCACGAAAAGTAAACAAATCTCATGGGAAGAACTGGCGGCCGGGCACGATAATGACCACATAACATGTGGAGGTAACATTGGATTTTAGGTTGTCCCCAGTATCCCTCTATCGTTCTACTTCTCACGTTGAGTGTCGATCAATATCTTGTTTGTTCGCTTATTTACCACCTATGGAGTGCCTATTAAGTACGTAAGTCGTTAGTCGACGTTCCACCATCACTGCAGACAGGTTGTTCTATAATTGATCCGTTCCTGTACCGGGGAAAATCCCACAAAATGTCCTTCATTGTCGTATCTGGAAACTAGGAACGTATAAGTCCCGGCAAAATCTTGAAGCTTGCACACCTAAAGTAAATGCATAAGGCAGTCATCAGATGTGCCAATACCAATAGTCCCACACCAGAATTCCAGCTCATTGTTGATGCAAACAGTCGATTATGAAAGCCGGAATTGTACACATGATACTTTGTGATTAAATGCCCTTCCGAACGTAATAAGCCGCTTGCCATTGTTAATGCAGTACAACACTATACGTCGCGTGTACGAAATGGAAAAAAAAATTATACATGAAATCAACAGCTCACAGTCTCCCAGCAAGCAACCAGCTTTGTAGCTGGACGACGAAAACTTTGGAATTCGATAAACCCTGGCTAGAAACAAATAGGTTTTCAAATCGTCAGTGGCCAGCCAGTTATCCTCCATTTTGGACCGTAGGTCGATTAAGTAAGTAGAGTGCCCTTTTCACGCCAGCATTGGGCATGCGAAGCTAGACTTCTATTTCTAAAGACCAATCGGGACTTAATAGGCGAGAGGGTCAACATCACGCCGCAGCTTTTACTTTCCAGGACTCTTTTCTGGTACCTATTTTAGGCGGGATAAACCATGGAGCCAGGATCCTTTTGGAAACCTCCTTTAAAAAAATACGTTGATGCAGATTCGAATTCAAGTCTTCATGCCGACAGGCAAGAGCCTCGTCACTACGCCACCGCAGTTCTCGGAGTGACGATTAGTCAACACAAATATAGATCTATTACCAAATGTCCGAGGTGTCAGCGGTGTGAAAACTGGCCCTTTACTTTTTACATGTCTAATTTCCTGACAAGAAAACTCAAAATTGGACTTTATAATATGAATTCTATTATGAGTTAAATACAGGTTTATCGAAAATGATTGCCGAGAGTTAAATTTTTTTTTATTTTTTTTTTAAAATATTTTTTTAAGTACATGTGTGGCGTCTTGTTCCGGAAAGTTCAAAGTTGCGTTTTACCTTGTATGATCCTGAGCTTAAAATGGTGCTAAAAACAACAGGAAGATCTAGGACCTTTAAGATAGGGTCGCTAGTGCAATTTCAGCTGTAACTCTGTGCACGATTCAGACGACATGGAAGGAGTTGAATGTCATCTATACATGATCAGAGGTATAAATAACCATGGCACCCATATGAAAGGGTAATAAGGTATGTCTAAAACTTTATACTTGTCTGAATTCGTTAAGATGGCATACGTGAATATCCATTAAATAATTCTTTAATAAGAGTTTAAAATCCTAGCGCGACCGGCTCTCTAGCGTAGTTGGCTAAACCGGATTGCGCGGAGACCGGGTGACGAACTCTTTGTGGCCCGGGTTCAATCACGGGGGTAGGCAGGAAAGCCACATTTCTCCCAGATTTACGGTATTTACAATGGAATCAAGGCCGAAAGGTTGCGATATCCATAATACCGAGCCTAAGGGTCAACAACTCATTGCTTCTGGATACTAAAACAAACAAACAAACAAACAAAATCCTGGCAACAATTCTCAATGACCCTGTATACCTTCATATTTTAGCCCTGTTTCAGGTAATTTGTGAAGAATATTATGGACTTCAATGGTTACATAAATCAAATATTAAAACAGCAAATTTGAGTTCCAATAACTATGTTAAATGGTCTCAAAGAATCTTCCAGAACATGACACTGGTGCTTTTTCTGCTCTCGCAGCAACTGGTCCATATTGGTAGACGCCAAGACTTGACAAGAGATGACTTTCTCGTGTAGTCGTCTTGCCATGATGGTCAAAAGTAAAGGTCATTCGACGACGCTGCTCTGGCGTCGGACATAGTAGGGCGTTTTTACAGGTTCATGGTCCGACTGAGCTGTAGAATAAATAACATTGAAAGGTTATTTTGATGTCAATACAAAGTGGTATAAGTCGCCGTGTTGTAGCTGCTTTACGCTTGCCTGCGGATCTGAAGGCCGTTAGTTCAGGTCCTGAAAGAGCCGGTCATTTTTTTCTAAGATGACCTTGTGTTTTAGGTCGACCCATCCCTAAATGGGTATTAGGGAAACTTCTCGGAAGTAAAGTGGTTGTCGTGATATTGACATATCCAGCACCAAGCTATAAAATATAGGTCTATACCTATATACCCAATACGAGCCCGGCACTCTATCGTAGTTGGCTAAACCGGATAGCGCGGAGACCGGGTGAAGAACTCCTTGTGGTCCGGGTTCAATCCCGGGGGTAGGCAGAAAAGCCACATTTCTCTCAGATTTTACGGTATTTACAATGGAATCAAGGCCGAAAGGTTGCGATATTCATAATACCGAGCCTAAGGGTTAACAACTCATGGTTTCTGGATACTAAAACAAACAAACAAACAATACCCAATACGCTGTAAGGCATGGGAAAGGGTCTTTTAGAAAAGGGGTATTTTTATTTTTTTAATCAAATACTTTTCACACAAAAATAAAAGCCTGGTTACTGAAAGGAACATAATTTTCTCCTAATTTCGACACTCAAAATCATTGCAATATAATGAGTAAAAATAATCTAATTGCACAAACGAGTACCTTGGGATTCAACCAGTCAGTTGTTAGTTCGTTTGCAACTGGGTTACTGGTAGTTCGTTTTTGGCGTATGAACTTTTCCGTTAACTGATTAAAAACGCGGCATGGATATATAGAATTTTATTTTTTCAGTATAATCAACAATTGCATACTTTGTCGCCTGAGACTTAAAACATACCAACTCAACTTTGTACGGGGTGGGGCTAGGAGTTGTTTTAAAACGCCTGTCGCGTGTTCTGAAGGCTGTGGGTTTGATATGGGAACTCTAAATTTCGGTTCGAGAGTGCACATTTTTGGAGATCGATATGGTCGTTGCTAGTGCTACGGAGTTCGTGCTGTGTACAAGGCTGTCGGGGGGTGACCGTCTGCATTGCGGAGAAACCGAGACGCAATAAAAACCATTCTTGTACCTGTTAACGCGTTTCAAACCAAAACTAGAAATGTTCACTCCAAACTGCCAAGTACTAACTTTATCATACCACTTTTGCAGTGTAGGCACGGGTGTCTTTAGACCTGGGGATTTACGACCGCATGGCTAGTGCTGTCGCCACGACTGTGCAAGTGAGGGTTTTATTTTGCTCCCGACAAAAGAAAATCTCCAGCCTTACCGATTATTCGATCCTGGGTCTCCCGATTGAAAGCCCTGCATTCTAACCGTTCTGCCAGCCGCTCCTCAACTTAAAAATGCTCACCACAATTACACAAATAAGCTATGGTAACACAGTTGGAGTCACTCTTGCATGCCCATTTCCAATACCACATGTCTGTATCCCAGTCCAGATGTATTTAGCTTCTGCTTTGACCCAACCTAAAATGGGTAACCAGGAAATTTTTTAAGAAGTAAAGTCAGCCTGATCCCTGAGGTTCCGACGCCTTTGAAGCTACTTAAAGTTTTTAGCTAAATTTAAATTGCATACGAATTAGCAGTCTAAACACATTTTTGCATAGTTACTAGCAATCTGTACAAAATAGTGTGAATTATCGAGCAGTCTATACTTAATGATGCATACTTACTAGCAATCTGTACAAAATAGTATGCATTTTCTAGCAGTCTATACGTAATGATGCGTACTTACTAGCAATCTGTGTGTGCATTACCTAGCAGTCTATACTTAATGTTGCATAATTACTAGCAATATGTACAAAATAGTGTGAATTATCGAGCAGCCTATACGTAATGATGCGTACTTACTGGCAATCTCTACAAAATAGTGTGCATTTTCTAGCCGTCTATACGTAATGTTGCATACTTACTAGCAATCTGTACAAAATATTGTGCATTTTCTAGCCGTCTATACGTAATGTTGCATACTTACTAGCAATCTGTACAAAATGGTATGTACTAGCTAGCGGTCAATAAACAAATTTGCATACATACTAGCAATCTGTTTTAAAAATTGATGTAAACTCATTAGAAATATGTACGAAATGTTTTATAATTACTGGCAATCTGTAAAAAAAATATTGCTAACTCATTAGCAAGATGTACAGAATGTTGCATGCTTGCTAGCAGTCTATAGATAATATTGCACACTAACAAGCAGTCGGTATACATTTTGTTTAAATTGTTGTTTAAATGTTGCATACTTACTAGCAATCTGTACAAAATGCATGCCCCAAATTATAGACCACACCCAGCCGACGATAACCACGAAGGAGACCATCTGAAGAATGGCGGACAATATATTCAGACCAAAGGCTTTGGCTGGTTTGCCCAGTTTCGTCTTGCAGCCACAGAGGCAGGCCCAGGAAGACATGAAGGTACCTGGCGATGAATTAGATATTGTAAAATCAGTATATTTCAAATTATATCTTAATATTAGACTACCACCACCACCACCATCACCACCATCACTACTACTACCACAACTACTGTTACTACTAGTACCGCCACTACTATCACCACCTCTACTACTACTACTACTACTACTACTACTACTACATCTACTACTACTACTACTACTACTACTACTACTACTACTACTACTACTACTACTACTACTACTACTACTACTACTACTACTACTACTACTACTACTACTACCATACTACCACTACTACTACTACCACTACTACTACTACTACTACTACTACTACTACTACTACTACTACTACTACCACTACTACTACTACTACTACTACCACTACTACTACTACTACTACCACTACTACTACTACTACCACTACTACTACTACTACTATTACTACTACTACTACTACTACTACTACCACTAATACTACTACTACTACTACTACTACTACTACTACTACTACTACTACTACTACTACTACTATTACTACTACTACTACTACTACTACTACTACTACCACTAATACTACTACTACTACTACTACTACTACTACTACTACCACTACTACTACTACTACTACTACTACTACTACTACTACTACTACTACTACTACTACTACTACTACTACTACTACTACTACTACTACTACTACTACAACTGTTACTACTAGATATTTGTTTCTTCGTGTTCACCCCCTGTAAACTCAGGCGGGAGATTCTTATTGTTCGTCCTCGTTTGAATGTGGTCTTGTTCCAGAACCTGAGTGTTGAATGCACATCCGCTTTACAGATCTGGCTTAGTGATAGCGATGAAGAGCCAACGCACAAAGCTGTAACCCACACAGTGCCGGCCACTGACAACGTGGAAAATAGAACTTGCTGGCCGCTCACAGCGAGCAATATAGAATGCTTACAGCGTTGAAAATAACACAAGATGACACTCCTGAAACATAGGACAGTCAGTGGTAACGGCCACGGCATGAAGTGGAGCCGACATGAAATCTCGCGACTCGCAGGCAAGCTCTTGATATGTACCCATAAACGGTTTTGGTTCAAGCAATCAATGGGCGACGTGTATCATTGTAGTTATGTGTGAATCTAGTCTCTCCACAGTCAGTCATTTTGTTGTTGTTGTTGTTGTTGTTGAAATAATTGCGTACCGCGACATGAGAGTTATGTGGTTGCATGAAATATCCCTTTACACACCAGCTGTGCATAGGAAATATACTGCTAGGCTCATATTTTATAGACCAATGGAGGATAGGTTTTAAAAACTGCGGCTGCCTTTACTTCCCATGACTTTACCTGGTACCCATTTAAGGCAGGGTCGACCTGAGAGCCAAGGGCATGCTTGAAAAACAAAAATTAGGCTTTATGCTTATTTAAACCAATGACCTTCAGATCCGTAGCCGATGTGTAGTTGTTCGCGTTTGTGTGTTACAAAATTTCAGTCAGTTTTTTGATGTTGTCATTTCAGTTTCTTCTTCGCAAAGAATAACCTGGAATAATAACAACAAGAAATGGACAGGACTAATTTATCATACACTTATTCATCAAGCGGAAGACAGCAAAATATCTCTTTCAGTTCCAAACAACGTGTAATGCGTAATTAGCACTGCTGTGAAGCCTACTTATGTAATATGTTCTAGTCGTTTTCGTAGTTGGTCACTGTATTTTAAGAAATCTGGCTCCCTTAGTATTTAGCTTCTTTGAAAAAAATACTCAAGTGGTCCCTAACGGGTCAAGGGTTTATGTTACATTATGAGAGATTTATGGAACATACTTTAGAATGTCTTTAATATCATCTATTCATGTTCTCATTAGACACCCTCTTACTACGACGTCTTAGCGTCACGCTTGTGTTTGGAAGTCATAAACATGTACAAATGTAGCTGTATCTGTCATACAGTTAATGAAACATGTACCCAGTATCTGTCACATTGTTAATCAAATATGTGCCTAGTATCCTTCTCATTGTTAATCAGACATGTGCACGGTAACTGTCACATTGGTATTCAAACATGTACCTACTATTTGTCACATTTTTAATCAAACATATGCCTAGTATTCGTTATATTGTTAATCAAACATGTGCCCAGTATATGACACATTGTTAATCACATATGTGCCCAGTGTCCGTCATATTGTTAATCAAACATGTGCCCAGTATCCGTTATATTGTTAATCGAACACGTGCCCAGTATCCGTTATATTGTTAATCAAACACGTGCCCAGTATCCGTTATATTGTTAATCACATATGTGCCCAGTATCCGTTATATCGTTAATCAAACATGTGCACAGTATCCGTTCTATTGTTAATCAAACGTGTGCCTAGTATGACACATTGTTAATCAAACATGTGCCCAGTATCCGTCATATTATTAAATAAACATCTGCCCAGTGTCCGTTATATTGTTAATCAAACATGTGCCCAATATCCGTTATATTGTTAATCAAACATGTGTCTAGTATCCTTCATGATGTTAATCAAACATGTGCCCAGTATCCGTTATATTGTTAATCAAACATGTGCCCACTATCTCTCACATTTTTAAAATTAAGCGATTTTTTTTTTCTGTCGAACCATCTTGCGCTTACTTCATTAAAAGAAACAAGTTCGACATTTTCTTTGACAGCGATTACAATGTTAATATTAATGTGTTAAATAAAAGTAATGGAATCTCTTCCACGCCATTAGGCGTACGTGGCATAAAGTGTTCGACCTATATTTTATTGACCAACTGGCTTTACGTGGGTTAACTGATCAACATTATACCGGTCGCCTTTACTTCTCAGGACTTTACCTGGCACCCATTTTAGACTGGGTCGACCTTGGTGCAAAATTCATTTTTTTATGAATAAAATCAAGCTCGGTGCGATTTGAACCCATAACCTTCAAGACCGAGGTAAGCGTCTAGCCGTTACACAATGGCAGCTCTCATGTATCTATATGTGTGTGTGACTGAATGTGTTTATATATGTATTATACACACACACATACACGTATATATATATATATATATATATATATATATATAAATATATACATCTGGTTGGAATTAGTTTCGAAGCAGCGAAAATGGTAATTTCAAAGCTGATATGGGACAGAAGTGCAATTATTGCATGAACGAATTCTTTGCTCTAGTCTGCCTACATGGGTAATATTTCGTTCCCGGTGGAATACATGGTGGAAACAAGATCGGTGGCGGTTAGAAACATCCCACCTCCCTGGTGGAAATTACCAGCACTCCACATCAACAGGACTGACGATCCGGACAAAGGGAGAGAGCAAACGCACAAGCAGAAATCGATTATTTGACTTGTTTTCTCTGAGGGTATTTTTGGAATAGCAACTACGGTAGTAGAACAATACAAATGGCAGTGTGGAGTTTAAAAATAAAACAAAGAATTCACTAATGCTGGTTGTTGTAGTGTTTCCTCGGGGGATGCATGTCACCAAACTTACCCTTTCACGTCGGGCATGAGATTTTCCAGTCTGTGATGTGTTCAAGAGTTGTCCTATTTTGTTATTTTCAACGCTTTTAGCATTCTTTTTTTTTTTTTTTTTTCAGGTTGTGAGCAGGGTTGCCTATGGGATTTTTTTAAAACTCAGGTAAGCTGAACACAAACCTAAACATTTTGTGAGAAAAGAACAACAACAACAACAACAACAAACCTAGATGCTAAAAAGTACACATTTTATTGTTTCGAAATGAAAAATTTACCCACTTTTTTATATATTTTTTTAATAACCCAGATTTCAAAATTCAAACCCAAGGCGTCAAATAAAAACCTAGATCTGGGGGTGGGGGAGGGACCATAATTGGTCGCCCTTGTTGGTAGAGGCTTTCACTGTTTTACTTGCTTTGTGCGTTCGCACTTCATTGCTATCACAGCGGCCTTACTTGGTGACCCAGAAAAATTTAACCAGTTCTCAAAATAGTGACGGTTACACAAGAGACCTAGTGTACACAAAAACGACAACTTGGTAAACGAGGGACGGTTACACAAGAGACCTAGTGGACACAGAAAAGACAGCTAATTGAAGAAGTGATGGTTACACAGAAGACCTAGTGGACACAGAAAAGAAAACTAGTTGAACGAGTGACGGTTACACAGAAGACCTAGTGGACACATAAAAGAAAACTAGTTGAACGAGTGATGGTTACACAAGAGACCTAGTGGACACAGAAAAGAAAACTAGTTGAACGAGTGACGGTTACACAGGAGACCTAGTGGACACAGAAAAGAAAACTAGTTGAACGAGTGACGGTTACACAAGAGACCTAGTGGACACAGAAAAGAAAACTAGTTTAATGATTGACGGTTACACAAGAGACCTAGTGGACACAGAAAAGAAAACTAGTTGAACGAGTGATGGTTACACAAGAGACCTAGTGGACACAGAAAAGAAAACTAGTTGAACGAGTGATGGTTACACAAGAGACCTAGTGGACACAGAAAAGAAAACTAGTTGAACGAGTGACGGTTACACAGGAGACCTAGTGGACACAGAAAAGAAAACTAGTTGAACGAGAGATGGTTACACAAGAGACCTAGTGGACACAGAAAAGAAAACTAGTTGAACGAGAGATGGTTACACAAGAGACCTAGTGGACACACAAAAAAAAGAAAACTAGTTGAACGATTGACGGTTACACGAGAGATATAGTGGACACACAAAAGAAAACTAGCTGAACGAGTGACGGTTACACGAGAGACCTAGTGGACACAAAAAAGAAAACTAGTTTAACGAGTGACGGTTACACGAGAGACCTAGTGGACACAAAAAAGAAAACTAGTTGAATGAGTGACGGTTACACGAGAGACCAGGTGGACACAGAAAAGAAAGCTAGTTTAATGATTGACGGTTACACAAGAGACCTAGTGGACACAGAAAAGAAAACTACTTGAACGAGTGATGGTTACACAAAAGACCTAGTGGACACAGAAAAGAAAACTAGTTGAACGAGTGACGGTTGCACAAGAGACCTAGTGTCCGTGGTTACTAA